GTCTGGAGCAGGCCAAACTTGATTTGCGCCGGGAAGAGATGAAGCTAAATCATGAGTTTAGAATAAAACAGCTGGAGAGCAATCCTGTCTCTATTCATTCCTTTGATGTGGCAAGACAGGTAAGACTTGTTCCACCTTTTTGTGAGCGGGATGTCACCAAGTACTTTGTGATGTTTGAAAAGGTTGCACAGAGTTTATGTTGGCCAAAGAGTATTGGCCAATATTGTTGCAAAGTGTTTTGAAGGGTAAGGCTCAAAGTGTGTATGCATCTTTATCAAACATTCAATGTGTAGATTATGATATTGTGAAAATACTATTCTGAAGTCGTATGAACTTGTGCCAGAGGCATATAGGCTCAAATATAGAAACACTTTCAAACTAGCTGACCAGACTTATGTAGAATTTGCCAGAGTTAAAGAAGATTTGTTTAATCAGTGGCTTCGTTCAAAAGAGGTAAAGTCAGACTTTGTTAAATTAAAGGAACTAATGTTATTAGAGGAATTTGCCAGATGTGTTCCTAAAGAAGTTTCTCTATACTTATCTGAACGAGGTGTAGATAATATAGCTGTTGCTGCCATTATGGCTGATGAGTATGTATTGACACATAAGACCTATACTAATAAATTTCCGGGTTTTCAGAATAAGAGAGATGTTGTAGCAGCTTCTCACTGTAAGTTTGCTCTTCCAGATGATGTAGTGGACCATGGAAAGATGTCCAAGCCACATGATTTTGTACAAGGGAAGAAATGTAAGATTTGTAATTACTGTGGGAAGACTGGCCATTGGGAGAGAGAGTGTTGGAAGAAGTCACGAGAAATTAAGGCTAAATCAGTAGCCTTGGTTTCCACTAAAGTAAGTTTATCCAAAAAGTTTTCACCTGTAACTGTTTTCCCCAGAAATGAAAATAAAGCTTCTTTAAGAAAGTTGGATGTAAACAGTGGTGATGGGGCTTTCACTGGATCGTATGATAGTTTTATGCATGAAGGTACTGTCTCACTTGAGGGTGGGGAAAAGAAATCTGTTCAGATTTTACGGGATACTGGCGCTTTAAAATCTCTCATGTTAAAAGGTTTGGTTGATTTTGAAAGCCCAGAGAAAATAGTTGTTCATGGAGTTGGAGGATCCATCTCTGTTACCCCTGTGAGAGTGTACCTTGAGTGTGAATTCTTTGAGGGTTTTGTGTGTGTAGGCCTGGTGGATCAATTGCCTATGCATGGTGTTCATTTCCTGTTGGGAAATGATATAGCGGGCAACAAGGTGAACCCTGTCCCGTTATTATCTGAGAAACCTGTAGCTGTGGAAGAAACTAAGCAATTAGTTGAGGAAGTACCCCATGTGTTCCCTGCCTGTGCTGTAACAAGGTCCATGTCAACCAATATTAAAGTACCTCAGACTGGGAATGTAATCAATCCTGTCACTACTACTGATACTGATGCTGTTAACTTGGCTGATACCTTTTTTGCCACCATTGACTCTGTAGATAGAGTAGCACTAGTTAATCAAACTGATATGTCTAAAGGATTAATTGAATTGCAGCAAGCTGACCCTGAGTTGCAAGACTTAGCTGAAGCTGCTGTGGCTGAAAATGAGTGTGATGAACTGTCAGTTTGTTACTATTTGAAAAGGGGTGTATTAATGCGTAAGTGGAGACCCCATTCGTCCCCAGCAACTGACAGTGAGTGGGTGACAGTACACCAGGTAGTAGTTCCAAATGTTTATAGGTATGATATAATGAAACTTGCTCATGATTCTACTTTGGCAGGACATTTTGGGGTAAGAAAGACCTTAGACCGGATTTGGCGTAACTTTTATTGGCCTACAATTCGCAAAGATGTTTCCCATTATTGCAGAACATGCCACACATGCCAAATGGTCGGTAAGCCTAATCAACCTCCTGATATTGCTCCATTAATACCCATTCCCCCCTTTGATGCTCCATTCTCCAGAGTGGTTATTGATATTGTTGGCCCTTTACCTAAAACTGCAACAGGATATTCTTATATTCTTACTATCATGGATATGGCTACTAGATATCCTGAGGCTGTTCCTCTCAAAAATACCTCAGCTAAAATAGTAGTAAGAGAGTTATTACAGTTCTTCACAAGGTTTGGCTTACCTAAAGAAGTGCAGTCTGACCAGGGATCAAATTTTATGTCCAAAGTTTTCAGACAGTCCCTCCGGGAACTAGGTATTGAGCAGATCACTTCCACTGCTTACCATCCTCAGAGTCAAGGTGCCATAGAACGTTATCATCAAACTCTTAAAAGTATGATTACAAAATTTTGTACAGAAAGTCACAAGGATTGGGATAAAGGCTTGCCTTTCTTGCTTTTTGCTACTAGAGAAACACCAAATGAATCCTTGGGGTTTTCTCCATTTGAGTTAATGTTCACCCACGAGGTGAGAGGACCATTAAAATTATTAAAAGAAGAGTGGCTTGGTATGGATGAGAATGTAGGACTTTTATCTTATGTTAGTGACTTTAAAGAGAAGCTGAACC